AATTTATTCTCAAAGGAAACATTTGCACTCATGTAAAGCTTATTGTGCCTATAACTAATTTCTGTCTAAATTAGCTAATGTATGTAAGGTTCATAGCATTTTAGAGATTTCAAAGATTTCATCACAAATGCTGTTTCATACTAAATTTTGACAAAATAGAATGTGATAGGTTTATTAGAAAACGGGGCAGTACAAAGTGAATAAAGTAGTCTGGATAATAAGGATAGGCAAGCCACATTCTTAGCAACTTATGCCTACACTACATATGCAGCAAACTCAATTAATAGGCCTGGTGACATTTACATTTTCTGCTGATAACCCATAAAATGCAATAAGAGCAATGCTTAGTGAGTTTCAGGAATTACTGAATAAAAATCATGACTAAGCTTTTGGAATGACAGATTCAAAAATCTAAATGACATTTCTGAAAGGTAAGAGACATGTGGAATGTAAAAATATGTGAGAAAAATCAAGCCTTTAACATAAAAAAGAAGATGAAGAACAGAAGGAGAATGGAAAATCCAACTACTCTTTCACGCACCTAATAGGTGCCAATCACTAAGGACTTTTTGCATGTTATCTCCAATCTCCACAACAGTACTACCAGGTAAGAGTAAACAGTGACTCAGAAGATAAGCTAACTCATCCAAGGTCACAAAGCCAATGAGGATAATTGTTAACCTCTGATGGGTCTGACTTCGGGTAGAGTTGAGTCCAGTTGACTACAATCTAATAACAACTCAGCTCTTTTTCCTCAGCACAATTCAATGAATAAATAAGGACTCATTCAATGTCCAGATAGTGAAACTGTTTCTGGTACCTTTAGACCTGTGAGAGTTTCATTTTTGTAGAGGTCTTGGTTCTGATCTCAACAATTCAGTAAAATATAGGAGAACATAAAAGGGTTAAGAAGAGTATCAAAAGACCGTGAGAGAACTGACAAAGGATTTTCAAAGGTCAGTTTAAGTTACAAGAAATATGTCACCTCCACAAGAACTGAGTTCATAATATGCTTTATTACTGATAGTAGACTGTAGTGCTTTGGTTCCAAAATAGTATGTGATATTCCACGTGACGTCTATAGCCTTTTGTCTAAGGGGAGCTGTAGAATTTTACAAGACATCAATGAAGTGAAAAGCTCTCCAGTTCTAGGTACCTAGATATACCCTAAAGAAGTGATGAGCTGCTCACACTTTGCAACACTGCAAACCATATGGAAGGTGATGGAGAAATTCTCTGGCTACTGTTGACAAGTTACTCTGAGTTTCTAATGGAAGCAAATTATATAGTACTACTTTGTAAAGTGACAGTATCATTCTAGTAATGTGCAGATAAAGTGTTCCACTGAAATTGAATAGCTCAAACTTGCCAGAAATATTATTGAAATAATTGCTTCCTGCTACTTTTTGCTTCAGTTTCTGGCAAACTGCTACTTCATGTGGCTGCAGGTTTTTAAAAAGAAGGTAGCATCAACTATTGCAGGACACAGAAATGACAAAGGCAGTGTTCTCCCTCTTTAATATTAATTTCTAACGTATGACTGAAATAACACAGCCTGGAAAGCTGCCTTCTAATAGAACGTTTGTGGATAATTGAACTACTGCTCATTGTTCGAAAGGTCATGAGGTTTGAGTGGGCTCTTTTTCTTTTAGTAAATTATTCAGCTTGAGTATTTATTGGCCTGTCAAAGGGAAAGGATTGTATGAACTGTCTTTGTTGCTCTTCAGTGTTTCCTAATTTGATTGTGTTCTTTTCTGTGCATAACCTCAACAGAAAATGTCCGTCTCTCTTTTTTGAATTCTAGTAGAGACACCGCTTATCTTTGCTCTTTGCTGTATCGAGCAACCTAATGAATCAAACAGACATGACTTATGTCAATGAGACAGAATTATAATACTGATTGAATTTTTGTCTCAAACTTGATCAGATCATTGCTTTTGTTAATATTTGGGAGCATTCTATAGAAAGAAATCCACAGTAGGAGGAGACAGGCAAATTTTGAAGGAATTGCTGGAATCAGATGATCCACAGTAATCTGTATTACAATAGAATGGCAAAATCTGCATTTCCCAGCCCTGATTCTATCCCAGTAGCATCTGCACAATTTCTACATGCTTTACTGTAGTTAATAGACCAATGGAACCTCAATTTTGAATAAAATATGGGTGCAACCTGGGGAGTTCCATTGCTCCTACATTGTCTTGCTGTCCAAATTTGCTGGTCCTTCATAACTATTTCCTGTGTCTAATGCTGGCTGAAGGAGAATTACTTAAGTTAGAGTGAGAGGGTCACAAGAACACAAAGGGTATCTGAATTTGCAAAAATCTGTTCCACATACAGCCTCATTTTCTTCTGACCACTGCAATCCTTGTACCTCACTACCTACATAAAATTGATTTTTTTTTTTTTTATTGCTTTCAGGTGAGAAAAAGTGGTCTTTTCAAACTTCTGTCCTTTTTCTCAGTGAACAGCTTTCTCTTCCTATGGACCAGAAATTTCCATTAATTGATCATCTTGGGTGTACCTAGAGGTAAGCTACTTCTTCATTTGACCTTTGCAACAGTCATATGAGTCAACCTTATTACTGATAAAGTAGAGATACAGAGTCAAGTCACTTTCTCAAGGTACCATTTCTCAGAGATGACAGGGCCAGGTTTGAACTCAGATTTAAATGACACCAGTCTAGACTCAAATTTATTTCCATGTCACATAAATGCTGGATTGCGTTATTTATTTATTTATTTATTTATTTATTTTTAGAGAGAGAGGAGGGGAGAGGGAGAGAGAGATAGAAACATCGATGAGAGAGAACATTGATTTGCTGCCTCCTGCATGCTCCACTCTGGGATCGGGCCCACTACCTGGGCATGTCCCTGACCGGGAATCAAACCGGGGACCTCTTAGTGAATGGGTCGCCGCTCAACAAATGAGCCACACTGGCTGGGCAATGCTGGATGGCTTTAAAACCAAGTGATACTAAACAGGAAGTATTAGGTTCTAAACAATGTGTCAGTACATGAGATGCTACTGATAACATTCATTCAACAGATATTGACTTTTGTGGTAACACCAAGATCACCAATATGCCTACCTACTACTTTTAGTTCCTTTGCTCTTATTCGTCATGTATTTCCACCTCCTTTTCCTGGCCTCTAGTTCAGTCATTTGTCTCTGTACTATTTATTATCCACCAATTTGACTCAGTTCTTGACTTCATTCCAGCTTTGCCTTTCAGGGTTTATTAATCCTGAGTGTTTGACTACTTACATTTCTCTCTACTACTTCGGTAGACTGGTCATGAATAGCTGCATTTCAAGTGCTGGCTTCAATTCAGCAAGGCCTGATACTCACCAATCAAAAGAAAACTTCCAACTAGACTATAGAGAAGCCTCTGCAAGTGAAATTGCAGATATAGTATGCAGTGTGTTTCTTGATCTATGGTTAACATTTTACTCTAAAATTCTGAAAAACTACTATTTAAAGTACTTTAAGTTAATCTGAAAACCAACCTCAATTGGTGGAAAAATACATGTTGAACAGTTATAGTTTTATTCCTAGGCATTCTTATTTTAATTGAAGACTCATTCCTTCCCCTGTGATATTTCTAATTGTGAGCCTCTGCACTAATATCAACTTTCTGCTTCTTTCCTGGTTTAGTAGCCTTCATCTGTTTTGACATACCTGCTTTGAATGTAATTCCCATTTCTGCTGAATTTAACCTTACTTTTTATTCTGGTTATCTATTGCTATATGACAAAGTACCTCAACAACTAGACTCTTAAATGCAACTATTTTATTTTGCTTGTGATTTGTACACTGAGAATCAGGGCATTTTGGCCAGTGATTCCACTTTTCCTCAGGACATTGTAGTCACTTGTTGACTTTCAGTGAGCCAAGATGCTGCTGATAATATTCATTCAATAGGTATTGACTTTCAGTGAGCCAAGATGGTCTTCACTCACATATTCATTGTCTTTGCAGGTTTAACTGGAAGGCTGAGTCAGTTGGAACTGGTGACCAGAGTTCCTTTCCATATACTCTCTAGCAGGTTCTTAATGTATTTGAACTTCTCAAATAGAGAATTACAACTCCTAGGGATAAGGTTCCAAGACACATGAAGCAAAACCTAACTTTTTCTTATGTCTTGGGACCTGAAACTGCACAGCATCATTTTTTCTGCCTTTTAATGGTCAGAGCAGACATAAACCTACCAGATTCAAAGGGAAGGAACATCAGTCCAACTTCTCAGAGGGAGGATCATTACAGAATTTGTAGCTATCTTTCATCTCCCTGACTTTCTGTATCTTATGTCTGTTTCCCTCTCAATGTTAGTCTTTGTGTTTCTATTTTAAACCTGAAAATTTAAATTCAGTTTATAATAAAGTACTTGATATAATCCATTGGTTCTAGTTTAATTCTATTTTTGCATTTATTAACATACTTTTTTTTACCTATTACATGGTTGAGTGTTACAAGAAGCAGTGATTAGAAAGTAGTGCACAAAAGTAATTTTCCAAATACGAATTGTCTTGCCTCAGTTTGAAATTTACCTCTACCATTTTGAAATTATAAAATCTTAAGCAACTTACTTGACTCTCAATATCTTCTTTGTAAAGTGAAGATTAAAATGCTCATATTATGTTTCAAATATTACATAAAATGATATATATTAAATACTTAGCATATGTCTTATATTCAGAAGCACACTAGAAAAAACGAAGAGTAGCTATGACTAATAGCTACTGTTATCACTCATTGTGTGAGCCTGAATTAGCCATTTAATATTTCTAAGACTCTTTATTTATTTATTTATTTATTTATTTATTTATTTATTTATTTATTTAATAAAAACACTTCAACATCATTTATTGTCACCTGGTGGTACATACGGGTAATGAAAACAATATGAATAAATGTTTAAGAACTACACTACCAACAAAGGACAAGAGAAAACCACAGACTGTATTGCTTCTCAACAATTTCTCACTTCATAGTCATTTCTAGTCGGAGACACTTTGGAGCAGAGTAATACTATCTCCTTTTGGCATGATCCAACCTAGTTGTTTTCCTGACTTTGTTTTGGAATGAATCTCTTCTGCATCATCTAATTTGAGGTTCATATACTCATCAAAACCAGTGAGACAGCCCTCTATCCACATATTCACTTGCTCATAAAGCCACCCCTGAATCCGAGAGCTGTTTTGCAAGTACCTGAAGATGAGGTTGATGGGCTGTGCCATCACCTTGTGCACTTTTTGGCCCTGGCCACGGTATGCCATGGTGGAAGCTGAACGACCAACCACACTCTCTAGGACTCCTCTTTTTATATATGTTTTTGTTCTGTATAATTAAGAAACTTGATTTTTTAAATTATGCTTCTGGTTCTTGACAGTGAAAAGATATAGATCAAAATCAGCAAAGGGTAATGACACATGGAGAAAAGTCCAAGAGAAATCAGGCAGAAGTTTACAGGTGTCTCCTCTCAGCGGAGTAACATGGGGACAAAATAAGATAAACTTATCTGGACAAATGAGTACAGCATGGTTCAAGGCCTCAGACATACAGAAACATTCTTTCCAGGCAGAATATCCCAAGGATTTAGAATTCATCTCCCAGGAGTGTGAAGACAGGCCTTTCTTTGGGAAGTGCAGGGTTTGAGCAACCTAGGCCAGCTAAGATTACTCCTTTCCCACATACTCCTCTAAGCTGTTAATGATAGGGGAACCTGGGTGCAGGGCATAGGGGAAGTCTATTCATTATTCTCTCTCTCTCTCTCTTTGTAAAAATAACATTTTTCTAAAAATTAAATTCTATTACAAATCAAAATTCAATTAGAACAATTGGTGATGTAAGCTGATAAATATTCAGGCTAAAAACATTTTAACATTTGTCTTCAAGTTTTTTGTTTGTTTGTTTTTCTCTATTGATTTTAGAGCAAGAGGAAGGGAGAGGGAGAGAGAGATGGAAACATCAACGAGAAAGAACATCGATTAGCCACCTCCTGCATGCCCCCCCTGGGGTCAGGCCCACAACCGGGAATTGAACTGATGACCTCTTGGTGCATGGGTCAATGCTCAACCGGTGAGCTACACCGGCCAAAATCTCCAAATTATTTTTTCTACCTGAGATTGTATCATAAGAAATTCTATTGCACTGTCTTGGCCTAGTACCTTTAAAATTTATTTTATCTTTGTCTTTATAAGGAAAGGACTGAACTTTTTTCTTATCAATACTAGCTTTTTTTATTCGTAGTAACCAAAAATTGGAAAAGATCCAAATGTCCATCAAGTGATAAATGGATAAATAAAATTGAATGTTCTTTAGTCATATAAAAAAATATAGCACTGATATAACCTCGAGCAAAACCTGAAAACATTATAGTGAAAGAAGACAGATACAAAAGGCATATATTTAATATGATTTATGTGAAATTTTCAGAATTGGCAGATTCAGAGACAGAAAATAGACTCATGTTTTCCACTGAATGAAGAGACAGGGAAATATGAATTGACTGATAATGGTTGGGTTTTCTCTTTGGGGTGATGAAAATATTCTGGAATTTGTGGAAATATTTATAAAATGTTGTGAACACTAATATCTACTGAACTGTATACTTTAAAAGAACATTTATGGTATGTAATTTATATTTAAATTTTGAACTATCTCTTTCTCACAAATAAATTGTTAGATTTCACTACCATCTGCTCTGGTCTTTGTATACTAGATTGGCAGACAAAACAATTTTTATAAAATAAACATAATTCTAATATATTTTAAGTAGTCTGTAAAATTTTCTTAACTTCCTTTCTTTCTCATTCCATTACACAGATATGCACACAATTGTTTACCTTTACAGAGTATCATAATGGTGAAGATAATAGAAACTCCTTTTTCGCTCAGATCTCCTTGAATTGTGGCAAAAATGAAATTCTTGGAACTATCATGGCTTATTAGGTCTACTAATATATGGATAAAATAGACTGAGTAGCACAGTAGTATAGACAGGAAAGAGAATCCACCTGCTTCAATTCTACACCTCTCTAAATTACAACTTAATAAATTGTTATTAACTTATTGTTTGATCTAATTGAAAACAATAGGGGTTTTTGTTTTGGCACTTGTTTTTGTTTCGTTTTGTATCATTACAGAATTGTGTACAACCGGTGATATGACTATAGTTCCTGAGTGTACACACAAAAGCCTGGACATAATTTAATATTGAAAACTCCCTGCTTTAATGGAACTTCATAATGTATATTGTGACAAGCATACTTTATTTCTCTAATATAGTAAAATTAGATTTTCCTGCAATGAATGATCTGTGTATCTTGGTTTAATGATGGTTTCATTTCTAATCAATTATTTGTTTCTTAAATTTTACTGATATTAAAAGAATCCATAATATAAAGAAACTTTTTTAATGACTTCTGTATTTTATATACAGAAAGTAGCTTTAATTGAGTAGCTTATCTTCCATTTGCAAGTTTATGAAAATATAAGTGTGTCCAAGCAAGTGAAAAGGAGAATAATCCTTTGTCATTCAAAGAATCAGAATATTTTGACTATTCTAAAATGCTTGTTTTTAATAAAAAATAATCTAATCAAGGTACCCCTTAGCTGAATGTGAATTATCTAAACACATTAGCTAGTAATATCACTTATTTACAAACAAATCAATGCTTATTTCTGCTTTCTTCATGCAGAATGTTAAGGTTATCTTACCTACTTAAACCTTTTTGAGAAACTGTATAGAGATTAAACTTATACATATGTAGACAACACACATGTTCATGCACTCACAGGCCTGTAAACTTTTGATTTCCTGTTAGAAAGTATCTAGCTTTCATTTGTAGAAATAGATGCTATGAAATAAAAGGTTTAAGCTTTTTAAAATAAAATATAAATAACATATGATATTAAAGGTAGATGTAGCAATTCACTTTATGTATATATTATTAAATGATCACCAAAATAAGTCAAGTTAACATTCACCATCACGCACAGTTACGATTGTTTTATTCTAGTGATGGGTTTTAACCTTTAAAAATTGATTTTTCGGTGTGTTCTACAAACTATTTCTTAAATCACAAACAAATTTTGATTTCTGATTTTAGTAAGTCTAGCTCAGAGGAGGAAGAGATGCCAAACATTGTGCTCAATAGGATTTTAGGTCATTAGTAAAATATCACCACAAAAATATATATATATTTTTGAAATGGTATTGACCTGTAAAGAAAAGCAAACCTATTTAACCCAAGTGAGCTTTTCCTTTGGAAAAGTTATCTGTGAATGTTCAGTTCTAGCCAAGGCAGATTTTATTTCCAACTTTTTATCAATATCACCTCCTCTGCTTAATTTCTTTGATGTAACCATATCTTTCCATTCATTTTTCATCCTGAAATTTACCAAGATAGCTCTTTATGCAACAAATAATAGGGCAAATGGATTGTAGAATAAGAGTAGCTTTAACATGAAGTTTAAAGCAAAATGCAGTTTTTTCTTCTAGATTTTACTTTATATTTTTCCTTAAAATTGGTATACTAAAAATATTACAATAAAGTACATCATGGAAAAATGTCCATCTTTTATGTCCTGTTGTCCTAATGTGTGTGTGTGTGTGTGTGTGTGTGTGTGTATTGGAAAAATGGTCAATTAACCGGCTGCAGCATCAATTTTGAATATGCATGTGTATGTGTGTGCACAGGCATGCTATTATAGTAGGTAGTATTACTGGTTAACTCACGTCAGCTTTGTAAGTTACATAGCAGTAGGTTGTCCTGATACCTTGAGGTGATTTGAAATCACCTATCTACCACAGGATAGTGACTTTACTCACAAACCCCTTGCAGGTTAGAGAACTATGTTTTCTTTGAATAAGAGTATTTACTAAAATAACACAATGCTAAGTCAAATAGAACTATTACAGCCAACTTCGGAAGTTAAATAGGCTTCTATAAATTCAAAATATTCTAAGATAGTCACACTGTTTAAGTAACTAAACAAGGTGGCCATCAGACTAAGGTGGCTCAAAGCCTTGGTAGCCTTTGTAATGAAACCAAAACCTAAGCCACAGTCAATGCACTCAAATCTGAGAAAATAATCTCAAAAACAACCAATCACAAAACCAGCCAACTAGGCTTTTCTAAATAAGGCAGCCTCTTAAGCTATAGCCAGTCAATGGTTTCCATTCTGCTTCTTTATGAAAAGTTCTTCCCCAGCTCCTGTTGGAAGACAGCTCCTAACTGCCTTCTGTTTGGCATTCCCTGATGCTAATCAATCAATATGTATGCTCAGATAAACTCTTAAAAAATTTTTTAAACTCTTAAAAATTTTAATGTACTTCAGTGTAACTTTTAAATTATTGAATGATTACATTTATAGTGTTTTTAATGCAACAATATCAATTGAATGTAATATCCCTTTTAATTGAGTGTACATTTTCCACTGTTCTCTTTTAATTTCTTTTAATAGACTCTTAATGATATAAACTTAATAAAATTTACAAGACTTTTGTTTTCTGGATTTTATTTATTCTTTCTTAACAAAATTGGCACACATATTCTTAAAATTGACCATGCATGCTCCTTTGAAGGACTAAAAATAAATGTAGAGTGTCCCTTTAACTGACGGACTTAAACTTGATCCACTGATTTGCACCACGAACTTCAAACGGTGGATTATCGCTGTAGACATGATGGGCTATTTCTTCCAAAGGTGGTTCAGGACAAGTTACAGCAATCTGGGCGGCAACATCAATTTCTTTCCTCACTTCAGCATCAATTTCCTTCAACTCTTCAACACTGGCAAGCTTGCCGTTTACCATTCTATCTCTGAGAAGCATAATCGGATCACTCTTACGTCTCACCCCCTGAACTTCTTCTCGGGTGCGGTAGCTGATCCCGGGGTCACTCATACTGTGCCCGTGATAACGGTAAGTCTGCAGCTCCATCACTATGGGCCCCTTTCCAGCTCTGCAGTAGTCGGCGGCAAACTTAGTCGCCTCGCGAACACACAGCACATCCATTCCGTCTACCCTGAGCCCGGGGATGAAATTGCCTCTCTTGTAGTAATCGGTGCTGGCGGCCGCTCTCTCGGCCGCGGTCCCCATTCCGTAGCGGTTGTTCTCACAGATGAAAACGCACGGCAATTTCCACAGGGCTGCCATGTTGAAAGTTTCGGCGATCTGCCCCTGATTGGCAGCGCCATCCCCGTACACAGTCAAACAGACCTGGTTGTTGCTCAGGTACTTACAGGCCAGAGAAATCCCAGCGCCCAGGGGCACCTGAGCGCCCACAATGCCATTGCCCCCGTAGAAGTAACTGCAGTACATGTGCATGGACCCCCCCTTTCCTTTGGCACAGCCTTCTCGCCGTCCTGTCAGCTCTGCGAGGATGGATCGGACCGACAGCCCGCGGGTATAGCAGAGGCCGTGAGCCCGGTAAGACGTGATGACGTGGTCCGTGGGGTTTATCCCGGCCTCCAGGCCCACACAGCAAGCCTCCTGACCGTCACACAGGTGACAGAATCCGCGAATAAGTTTCTGTTTATACAGCTGATCTGCCTTCAGTTCCATCCGGCGAACCGTCTGCATCATCTTGTAGTATTTGAGCCCATCCTCCCGGGTGAGCACTGCTGTGACCGGGGGCCCTTCTTCCAACAGAAAAAGATCGCATTGCTTAATTTCAAATGTAGAATCATTGGAATAGTTACAGGAGGCCCCCAGCACCCTACCAGCGGGCTTCTGGGCGACACGGGACAAAATGCGGGACACGGCAGCAGCGAGCATCTTCTTCATGGAGATCAGCGGGCGGCGGTGCACCTCCCAACTGCCTGAGCCCGGCTGCGTCCAGTGTCTCCTTCCAGCCTCCGGCACCTACCGCACGTGGCGCCACAAAGGCCACGCTGGTGACAGCAGCCACGTCATGCACGCTGGGTCGATCACTGGCCTGGAGTGATGGATTTTTACAGGGCCTTGCAAGGGTAAAATTAAGAATAAAGGTTATTTCTTATACTGGAAGACTTGACCGAACTCTACACCAATCCTAATTACTGCCATTGTCACTGATACAACATAATAATCTGAGTCCTTTCCCCCTGCTAAATACTAAATAGCTGTGCTTCTCCAACGTGCATCAATGGGAGAGAAGAGCAGACACAATCCCTAGGGCACACGAGAGTTCTGATAGTTTAAACCAAAGATATTCTCACTGATATTTCTTTAACATCTTTCAAAAAATCCTTAAATAGGTATGAATATTTTATGCTACTCCAAAATATACCATATATAGTTGACTGCAAAAAAAAAAAAAAAAGTAAATTTGTAGTTTAAATACTTCACTTAAAAACAAACAATTTTTAGCCCTGGCCTGTTTGGTTCAGCGGTTGGAGCTTTGGCCTGCGGTCCAGGGAGACACGGTTCAGTTCCCACTAGGGGCACGTGCCTGGGTTGCGGTGTGTTCCTGGCCCTGGTTGGTCCTGCGGGTGGCAGCCACTCAATCCACTCAATGTGTCCCTTTCACATCCATGTTTCTCTCTCTCTCTCTGTTCCTCTCTCTCCCTCCCATTCTACCTGAACAAGAAAAAAAAAAAAAAAAAAGGAAAAAATGTCCTCGGGTGAGGATAACAAAACCAAAAAAAAAAAATTTTAAAGAAAAATATATGTTCCAGAAGAATACACCACATTTATCCTCTGGACCTCAGGCCGACACTCTAACCCCTGAGCCAAACCGGCCAGGGCACATTTATCCTTTTGTTCTAACACCTGGGGGAGTAGTGAAGTAGGTAGCAAACCCCAGTCTGAGAATAACAGTCTAAACCCAATAAAAAAGCTTTGCTTGGTGTGGGAAAATTAAAGGCAGGGCTGAGACGCAGATTGCTATAAGATTTAATATGGCACCGTTCTTATAATCCTGAATCCCATCCAACCAATTTTATTCTTAATTTCTAACCAATTTATTTTTTATTTTAATTTTCTTTCTCATTTTTAACAGATTTACATTTAAAAAAAAAACAAAAAAAAAAAAACAAGATTCAGGTGGTGTCATTTTTTGCTTTTATAGCAATCTAAATAGTACCAGTATTGGTCTGGGAAATGAGAAGCACATTTTTATTAATACCTCGTTATATAGTAAACATTAGAAAATGTGATTTTTTATAAATTGACCCACTCAACAGTATACAGGTGGAACTGAAAGACAGCAAATATTGCACCTGTTTAAGCAGCTGGCAACAGTTCGATCACGTGACAAAAGTAGGGTCTAGGGTTATAAAGATCACAAATCATTTTTCTCTTTTGTGCTTTTACTAGGAAGATGATTTTGTACCTAAATAAGCCAATCACAACCCAGATCCTATTCTATGTAGACTCTTAAGCAATTCACCTTAATACATGCTGTTTTATATCCACTGCCTATTTGCAAATAAACATAAAAATAAAATACAAAATCCTTGTTTGTAAATAAATTCTTACTCAAATTTCCCTATGGCGTGTTCAAAGCAGCTGCTTTCTCTATATCTAGTTGGAAATATTGTTTTGGACACTTCTTTTGATATTTAGGTAAGAAGGAGAAAACAATTTGTTGAAAAGTTATGATCTCGCTTAAAACTTGATCCTCCCCCCACCTTCTCAACCCAACCATCATAATGGGTTTCATTTTTTCACTCAATTTAAAATTTTGCTGTTGGAATTCATGGTCGTGCTGTGATGTTTGCTCCCTCTTTGATAGTTAGCCTGTCTCTGCTGTTCTTTCATTCCTGCAGGTATTGGAGATCTCCAGGGAGTATTATCTCCATGAAAATGAGAAAAATAACACTGCAGAATGGAACAGTAGTGTTAATGGGTCACTGAGTGACAGCTGAGCCTTCTCTCAGAGGTATCAGCCAGCCCAGCACTGCCAGGAACACAAGAGCCATAAAATAAAGTGTGCCAATTTAATCTTGTCACAGGTAGCCTGGGCTGCAAAGATAGAGTTCCCCTTAAAACCTTGGTGTGACAAGGCTAAACCTGACTCATGCCAGAGGAGAAACATGCAAAGATGCCAACTGGGAAATACCTGTGCTACAGGTCACCACAGAAAATGGCCCTTTTTTTTTTTTTCTTGCAACAGGCTCTGGTTAAGATAATAAATAATAAAAGGTGAGCCTAAAATGACTTTCTGAACATCAGATACCCTATACTTCCCAAACTCAACTTAAAGATAGACAGATGCCCAAGTATTTCCATCAAATTGATTAATCCTGATAATAATTTTTGAACTTTTACAACATTTTAAACCCATTCATATTTTCAAAATAGAAGTGAAATTTCCATATGTCAGATGTCAGTGTAAAAGTTTAAAATTCCTCAAGGAGATCCTGTTATCTTCCCCTATCCAGACAAGTTTCAAGCTGCACATGGACAATAGAGTTGATAATGGTGTATTTTCCTTCAAATAATTTATTTTTGTCTTGTCATTGTTCAATAATAGTTTCATTACCAAACAGAATTAAGAATCACCTACATGCTCACCATTGAACTGTAGTTTGCTATTGAACCCCATAAATTCTAAGTTTTTAATTAAGACAGAATCTCACTTTTAATATATTTGAAATGAAAGAAAAACAGATGAGAATATTCATAAGGCCCATGGTAGACTTTATATTTAATTAATTAAAAAATCAAATAAAAGAGAAGTCAGTGATTATAGTAGCAGCCATTCATGTCAGTGTGATGGAATTTCACATTTCATATCTAATGGTTGACCCTAAAGGGACATTTTTGAATTTATCTTAAAGTTACCACTCCCACTGCATCAGTACCATAAACAATATTTTTAAATAAGTGACAAGGAAATGTTAAAGAAGAAGAAAGAAAAAAAAAAGCATGTTTGAAGGATATTTAAATTCCTCCAGTAATAATTGCGCTTTTCACCAAGTGTTAAGAGAATAAAGCTGTTAAAAAGTGAATATGTTCTAGATAAATAATATTATATCTCATTATATGATTAGTGGTCATGTATTTTTTTCATAGTACTAAGATTTAGCAATTAAGAGTGATGAATAAAGACTTAGTGAAAAAATTAGAATTATAAATACCTCGGAGAAGAGTCTTCTCCATTTGTTCTATAATTTTATCTCCCTTGGAGAAAGTGAAAATGTCAGGACCATATATTCTGCAAAATAATGACAATCAAGCGAGGTTTTTCTTTAATGTTATAATAAGTTAGGTTATTACAAAGCTGTTTGGAACCCTTGGAAAACAATTTTTTCCTCCTCAGTCCCATCATAATTCTGAAATATCATTATATGAAAGTTCAGGACAAATTACCATGAAGAAAAGATTTGATTGAAAATGAGAGATAAAGTGATAGTGTTCCTCATTCCACCCAGATAGTAATGGTGTAAGGAAAGGAAAGATGTTAGGGCTCAACTTTTAGTAACAACTGATGGAGCCGCCATCTTTCTCCTGCTGAATGACCCCAGTCATCTGAGTCCTTGTGGCCACAGTACCTACCCCTATCCCTAGAGTTTAGAACTGAGTTCTAGCAGATAATGGTAAAAGGGTTCAAGATACAAAATACATAATAAAAAATATTTAAAATATTTCAAATATTTTACAAAAGGTCTTTAGAATTAAAGCTATAACTAATGTGGTCAGTTGAAATAAAACATAAAAATTCAATTATAATCTGGTTTCAAGATTTACTAATGCCTAGTGTCTCAACCAGTAGAGGACTAGTATAAGAGTCATGAGTTGTCTCTCTTCAAAACTAGTTCAGTGACTCAGGTCTTCTTCAAAGAAGCAAATGGAAGGAAATACATGTGCTAATTATATTATTGCAAACTAATATTTAAAAAAAAGTATTGGTCTACCCAAAGCTGTTAGAATGGAAGGGGTGGTGAGTGCATTTATAAAGAAAACATAATAAAATGGTACAGTTAGAGTCAGGTGATAAACCAAAGGACGTATATGCATATATGCATAACCAATGACACAGATAACAGTGTGGTGAAGGGGGTACTGGAGAGGAGGATGTCAAGGGGGGAAAAGGAGGGACATCTGTAATACTTTCAACAATAAAGATAAATTTTAAAAATATATAAATATAAATATCAATTTAATACATATCTCTAAAAAAAAATCAAAGAAATTTAATAAAACCCAAATCAGAGTTAAGTCCATTTGCATTTCCTCCAAAAATTATTTATACTTTTTGGGAAAGGGTTTTTTCCAGCAGATTTTAATTCTCATATACTTAAAAACCCGTGTCTCAAATTTTTATTCTTTAAATAAACATACATTTATCTCTGTAACCTTGATTTTAATGGCAAAAAGATATATATTAAGTGTGACAGTAAAAATAAACTCTATATATTAAACGGTGAAATGAGGACTTCTCGCCTCTGCACTGTCATTTATAATATATTAGTTTCTCTTAACTGTACCACTTTATTATGTTTTCTTTATGAATGCTCTTCACCACCCCTTCCATTCTAACAGCTTTGGGCAGACCATTACTTTTTTTTTTTTTTTAATATCAGTATGCAATAATATAATTAGCACATGTATTTCCTTCCATTTGCTTCTTTGAAGAAGACCTGAGTCACTGAACTAGTTTTGAAGAGAGACAAAAGAATGTTGGCAAAATTCCAAGGCACTGCTGCCCCCTAGAAGGAAGTTTGAGAAGCACATGTGATCATTACAGATAAGTCTGGGGAAAAGGAGGCTAAGGAGGAAGGCAACTCTTGTGCCCCATTTTAACAACATACTCTTGGCTGCATCGTCAGTTTTCTCTGTCCTGTTTTGTATCTACGCTTAGGCAC